ATAGCTTTGCATCTGCTTGTCACATCCCTTTTGAAAAACAACTTCTTTACTAACACATTGCTGTGTATATACTTACAATGACAATAAATTATTATTATTATTATTATTATTATTATTATTATTATTATTATTATTATTATTAAACTGCTTTTTATTCATTAAATAAATCAGCAAGGGTTTGGAACTGTTGAGCTCTAAGCACTTTCTGTGAAGTTCTTAAAGGGTTAAACTGCATGTAATATCTTTATATTTAACATGCGGGTTTTTTAAAAGAAGCAGCAGCAGCAAACTGGAATCAACAGGAAGTGCTGTGAGTACCACAGCAAACATGGAAAGGAAAAGTAACCCTTTCCCCCCTATTTAATATAATTTTTTATAAAGTTTATACTTTTGTAATAATAATCATAATAATTGTGTGCCATAAAGTCAATTCTGAATTTACGGGGACCTTTTCCAAAACTGTAAGAGGCTTGGAAACCAGTCTCTGTGAAGGAAGACAGAAAGAGCCAGGCATGCTTAGCCTTGAGAAAAGGAGACTGAGGGGAGATAGGAGACCACTTTTCAAATCATTGAAAGATAGTCGTACAGAGGAGAGGGCAGGATCTCTTTTCAATCATCCCGGAGCGCAGGATGCGACCCATAAGAACCAACAAAGGCAACCATAGCTATTCAGAATACTGCAGAATAGAGCTTGTTTGTGTGTTACTCATGCCACCAACTCTGCACAACCTAAGTAGCTTCTGGGCAAGCTTGTAAATTCAGCAGCTACATGCTAGCATGCGGTTTTACTGCTCAGCCACAGCGACAGTGGTGACCACGGCATACTCCCATGAGGTGCTTCTGCACCTCAAGTTTAACACTCTTTGTTCATAAATCCTCCACGGCATTTCTCTGGGCTGAGCTTAGAACCTGAAATTCGCAAACTCCAGCCCCATTACCGATCTCATGGAATACCATGTATCATCACATGTATTCCTTGTTATTCTTCATTACTAGGGATTATTAATACTTGTATTAATGGAATACTCTCTTGTTGCTGCCGGACGTTGCCCAAGGCATGTTGTTCCACAGGCAAAGAGAAAAAAAAATTATCAATGTCTCATGAAAGCTAAAGTAGTGGAGCCCAAGAATGATCAGATGGACTAGACATCTAGTAAACCTCCTGGAATACTAGTGCTGAAGCCGGGGAGAAAGAAAACATTGCGATTTGGCCAGACTTATATGTTATTTTCAACTGATGATGAAATACAGCTCCTGCCTTACGAATCCCTGAGGTGAATTTAGCACAGTAACAAAGGAAACCACATGAATGGAATTTCGCCCTCTCTCTCTCTCTCGAGGCTGAGTCTATTATCACGCAGGATAATATCTGAATATATTTTAAATGCAAATCTTTATACAGTCCTTCACCTGTTTCTCCTGTGATGGCTCTTATTCAAGGACTTCTCTCTACTAGGAACTACAATGGGGGGAAAACACGGCAAGTAGCCTTTCCCTCCTGTCACCCCAAAACAATACGCAGGGGGATCCCAATCATCTAAGCCCCATTTCAATTAACAGGATTTGATTGTTGGGCTACCTAATCATAAACTCAGAACTTGAGAAGGCGAATTTTTCAACTAACTAGTCCCAGAATTTCCTAACCAAAATTTCCCAGGCTATGAAAATGGGATACAGTGGGGCCCCGCTAGACGATTACACCGCAAAACGGGTAATCCGCAGGACGATGACTTTTTGCGATTGCTATAGCGATTCGCAAAATGGTTTTTCCTATTGGGGATTTTGCTGGACGATGATTTGGTCCGTGCTTCACAGACCATTTTTCACAAGACGATTTTTACAGCTGATCGGCGCTTCCGTTTTTCGCAACACAGTGATTTTACAGCTGAACGGTGCTTCACAAAAGGGCTTTCCTAGGGGCGATTTCCGCTGGACAATGACGATTTTTCCCCACTGGAACACATTAAACAAATTTCAATGCATTCCAATGGGGAAACGCTTTTCACAAGACGATGTTTTCACAAAACAGCAATTTCAATGGAATGAATTAACGTCGTCTTGCAGGGCACCACTCTTTCGCCTTACACAGACGGCGCTTCGCAAAAGGGCTTTCCTAGGGGCGATTTCCGCTGGACAATGACGATTTTTCCCCACTGGAACACATTAAACAAATTTCAATGCATTCCAATGGGGAAACGCTTTTCACAAGACGATGTTTTCACAAAACAGCAATTTCAATGGAATGAATTAACGTCGTCTTGCAGGGCACCACTCTTTCGCCTTACACAGTTTTGTTTTGAAAATGATTCGAACTCAGAGCCATACCAGCCAGAGGGGGGAAAGAAAATTGTGGCTCAAGGTTGAAGAGGTCACAATACCTTTTCTTGGGTCACCTGCAATACTCTGGGCTATATCCACTACTACGTTGGAACAAAACTCAAAAGGGGTTCAGTTTATTTTATTTTGCCTTGGACTAAGCTCCCAGAATCCCAGTAGTCTTGCTGGCTGGACAGTCAAAGTTGCAGCCTGAACTCTACTCACAACCTAATAAAGGCAGATAAACCTCTACCAGCCAGCTGTTGGGGGCTGGATATGGAATGGGAACAACCAAATCATCCTATCCAACTCTTTCCCAACATCTGGTAGTCAACAAAGCTGGAAGGCAGCCAATGTATAAAAAGATGCTCAGCTGCTGGGCAATGTATGAAACAGGACACTGCTTCTTATCCAGCTGTGGACACGTGATAATCTGCCTCCAGTCCAACAGCCCTCTGCCTTTAGAGCAGTGGTTTCCAACCTTGCATCCCCAGATGTTCTTGGACTAAAATTCCCAAAAGTCTTCACCACTAGCTGTGTGGCCAGGATTTATGGGAGCTGTAGTCCAAGAACATCTGGGGACCCAACGTTGGGAACCACTGCTTTAGAACTACAATATCTGTGACTCCTGTCCAGAAGAGCCAACGGTGGGACAGTGGAAGGGGTTGGCAGGCAGCAAATATGCTCTGGATTTTAGCCTGAACTTTGAATGAGCTAGCCAAAGCACTGGATTTATTTGGGGTTATATGGTTCAGCATCTTGGATGGCTCCTTTAAGATTTGGAGCAAAACCTCAAATAGATTGATCACTGCACAATGTCAGAGTCACTATTCTCCACTGTGATGAGGAACGATGGGAACATCCAGAGAGCCACAAGTTCCAAATCCTTGCGTTAAATATTCCACCTGACTCCAAGCTATCCAGATAATGTACACGTTATGCAGTTGGGTCGTTTTCAAAACTGTTTCCAGACTGCAATAATAAGCATATTAATATTTATAATGATAGTCATGCAAAATTGTGGTTTGGGACTATAATTCCCAGAATTACACAGACAGTATAGGAATTGCAGTCCGAAAACATAAATCTGCATAATCATCATGATCATCATCATCATCATCATAGCATTCATTTTGTTAGCACCAGCTGTGGTATACGGTTTGACATTTCATGTTCCCTAGCATATATATATATATTTTCCAAGATAGCATAATGCTATCTTTTCCCAGAAACCTAAAAATTCCACCAAGGTCCAATATTTTCAGATTGTCAAAATAGTCCCGCCACATATATTTGGACTCAAAATGTCTTTCGCCTCCCATGGCGTTACCGCTCGTAGCTACAGGGAAGGACAGGAAGAACAGCCAAAACAAGCAGCAGCTTGAAAGCAAACGGGCTCTGGTGGTTTCTATCACGTGGATTGTGTCCCCCCCAAAGGCTCCAAAAACACCAGATCTGCATCGCAAAGATCTGGAAGAAAATAAAGGCAAAAGCTTTGGCCAGCCATTCCCAGGTTTTTCCTTCCCTCACTGGGACGCTGAGCCAGTAGAATATAGTAGCAGGAGACTGCTGGAAACGTTTATGGGGCTTTATAGGGCTGTATTTTGAATGGGCGTTTGTGCAAGTTGAGGGATTTAAGGTAGAAAGGAGGACAGGCAAGATATGGCCTTTTTTGGGTCCCATTCTTGATGCTTTGGAGAACAGGACTTGTGCTTATCGTGTTGTCAAGAGAAGGCAGAAATCATTTCTCGTAGCCTTTCCGATTCGCCACCCCACAGCCAGTGACCACAGGTGCTATATTGTACTCACACACCTCATGGCTGGGAAGCCATCCAGTTTATGCCCGAGTCCCAGTTAAAGAGGCTTGCCCCTCGCAGTCCCATGATGCAGCTGTAAAAAAAAAAGCCAGCCCTCCAGTATTTAGAGTCACCCATTCCAAAATAGGCTTTCAGGAGTGCCACTGACTGCCAATTGGACCGCCTTGTTTTTGAAAGGCAGGCAACACGCCATTTTGCAATAAGCGCTCCTGCATCTTGTTCTGAGTACTGACTTTTGATCCAACCGGAAGGAAAGCCCAGAAGAGAGTAATAACTGGACTCGGGTGGGAGATGTTTAAAGCCAGAAGGTCAAGAAAGCAGATTGGAAAGACATACTCGGGGCATATTTAGGGAAAGGCACAAATCAGAGGCAGGAAAGAGAAGCAAGCTTCCACCTTAACGTTGTGCCCTCAGCCATGCATCCGGCGCCAGCAGATAAGCAGGAAGGAGGCTTCCTGTTATTATTCCACCTCTTCCCAAATTGCCTTACCTTTGCAACTCATGGCAAATCTGATTTCACATCCCCAAGCAATGCTAAGGAAGAAGCGGGGGTAGGGCGGGGGAAGCGAGCACAACCTACTTGCTCGTTCAATGTAAACAAGATGCTTCCTCTTTTCACCTCAGCAAAGAAAGAATTCACCCTCTCTTGCATTTTAGAGATATGATTCTACCAGGCACCAAAGTAAAGAACCTCATGAGAAAAAGAAAAGAAAAAAACAGAATTTCTTTAAAAAAATCCAATACAATGTTTGGTGCAGATTAAGTCAACAGCAACATACCCAACCACAAGATGACCGGGGGGGGGGGAATAA